TGAAGCTATAATAGTCGTAAGTCAATTCTAGAAATAGAAATAATAATTTTTTGGAAGTTTTACACTTAACACCTTTTGATGTACCGTTTACTTTCATTGTGGAGAGACTGGTGTTAATCAGTGAGGAATATAAAACGTTAAATCTTACTGAAGTGGTCGGGTGATCCCAGTGTGGAGAAGACGCAGGTGAGGAACTGCAGACGGACCTGGACCTCCGCACTGTGGCTGTACCTGAGCACCACGGCAAGGAAGGACAGGTCAGTAACCGAAAACAAAAAGAGACAATCATTATATCCTTTCATTCTTATCTGCAGCATTTCTTTGAGGAACCGAGGTGAAGGTCTGACGGACTTACAGTGCAAACTTGTGCCGGTGTTCCCGGACTTCCTGGATGTAGTGCTGCAGGTTATCGAAGAACAGCTTCATCATGTGCAGCTCCTTCTCTGCCCACCTGAATCACACACACACATATATTTAGGAGCCGTTCAGCATCTTCAGACCAGTAGAAATACGGTACGTAGGCGGGAAAAGTTATACTAGAAGTTGATGATGTTAAAGTTAGGAGAAGTCACTCACATGGTGATCCAGTGAGTGTCGTAGCTGGAGCCAAACTGCTGAAAAGTGCCGAAAAGCTTGGGTAGTAGACGCAGGGAAACAACGACAGACCTGAGAGGGAAGACGAGGCGATGAGGGTCAAAAACATGGATACAAAAAACATTGAAGGTGTTCTAAAAATATTATTTTTTTGCAGTGTGAGAAGTTTTTTTTACTTTATATTTGCAGAACTACGAGTCATTAAAACAATATCACTCTTGCTTATATCATTAAAAAGTTTTAATGTAACTACTTTGCACACTTTTAGATGTATACAGTACCCTATTTTCATATTTAAGTTGGAAGAGTTTGGTACATTAGTGTATTCATATTTTATTTAATATTGTGTATTCTATAGATACACATCTTTCTACTGTTTATATCTATAGATTTACAGTTAGCAACAGCCTGTTGCTACCGATACAAAATAATTTCCCATTGCTTTTTTTTGGACATACAACTCATCCATCCATCCATTAGGGCTGTCCCGAATAAAAATGTTCGGGCTCCGGATATTCAGTAGTAATCAGCAGCGAATATTCGGCCCGACGGCCCGCGCGCGCGGGGGGGGGCGTAGTAATCAGCAGCGAACCGCTTCGACACGTGTATTTCGGTTTATTTCACGACATTCATTTTGTTATTCTACAGTATTGTTGTTTTATAGTTATTTGTTAATGTAACCCAATTTGTGCTCTTTGAAATTGAAAAGGATATCACATTGTGTTTGTTACTTTCGTTGCAGTTGTATGTCTTAAGTGTAATTTGGCTTGGCTTCCTATTTATGGACATGCTTTTATTTTGGAGGAGAGTCAGCAGGAAGTTAGACAGGAAGTTGTTGTTGCTTTGGAAACAACGTGACGGAGATTAACGGAGCAAAGTAATATGTAGGCTACATATGAAGAAGGAGAAAGTAAACAATAACGTTTATAGTTAAGTGTTAGCACCCCACGAAGAGGCACAAGCGCTTACGTTGATATTGGAGATTTCAATAAATTCAATTTGAAAAATAAACGGGAAAAAAACGAAAAAACAAACAAAACGAATAACGAAATTGAAACCCGAATAGTACTCCAACGAACGAATATTCGGGTACAGCCCTACCATCCATCCGTCTGTCTGTCTGTCTGTCTGTCTGTCTGTCTATCTATCCATCTAATGTGCTTTTTTTGACAAACACCCAATAATTGACCTTTTCAAAATAATTTAATACAATAAAATAATTTCTAGATCACTTCTCCATGCAGCTTTCCGAGATTCATTCTACGAGTGTTGTTGTTCGTTTGCAGAAAAGGTTAAATCCAGTTCGCTCCCTGAAAAAATAGGCCTGTCGCTCAGTCAGTCTTACCTGTGGTGAGCCAGGTTGTCAAGGCAACCCTCGATGAAGCGCATCCGGATCTGTCTGTCAGTGAACCAGCAGACGAGAGAACAGAGCAGCTTCTCCGCTTCGTTGATCAGACCCTCAGACAGATGGATCTAAAACAAACACACACACACATTAAACATGAGACCAGAGGGGGGAGAAGTACTTTGACATCTGTCTATGAGAAGAAGATGGAGGCCGTACCGCGTCGTCGTCCTGCACCAGGTCCCACAGCAGAGTGTTTCCCTTCTTGCAGACGTTGTCCAGGTTGATGTCGGTCACAGCGTGGCTGTTGGAGAACTGGTGCTTATGGACGGCTGGCCCTGCGCACACACACACACACATTAATATATATTAATCAGTAATGTGGATCGTAATGGCTTGGTGGGTAAAGACAAATTAAACAACATTTGAGAATAACACTTACAGTTTACTGAAATGCAGACATTGAAACATGGAAAGACAGCACTTCTACTATATTACAATACCCAAAGTAGGGCCGCACAATTAATAAGAAATGTATTAAAATTGCAATACGGACTAGTCTTTGCTCTAAGTATATAAGTATAAGGGATTGTCCACAGTACTGACGTCACATCGTGTCACGTGACTTGAATTTTGAATTGAGCCGTTCCTTATAGATACTATCTCTTTACGCATTAGTGATGGGATTTCCGGCTCCTTTTAGTGATTCGGATCATTTGGCTCGGTTCACTAAGAAAAGCCGGCTCTCTCGAAGTGTGTAAAGTCTGTGAAGGGAGGAGGAAAAAAGCTTCCGCGATCACCGTCTCCTCTCTGCTGCTCCAAGCCCCGCCCCCTCCTAATGAGTGACAGGCTGATAGTAACCTGATAGAAACTTTATTATTCCACTTATCACTGAGAATAAGGTGGTCAGATGACGGCAAGATGCCCCCCTGGCGGAAATGCTGGTTGTAGCCCTTACCCAAAACAATAGACTAAACACAGGGTGTCTTCCGAGTCACTTGCTTCATAAGCGAGGCAAGAATACTTCCTGGCATTCGGAAAACGAAAAGTGAAACAGGCGAGCAAGTGTGCGTTATATGAGAGGCCCCGCCTGTTGTAAATACTCCTGTTGTCCTGCTGTGTTCAGACTCCCAGTCCTGTGGTGTGATGCCACATTCAGGACATCAGTGTCCTTTTTTTAAAGAAGACTGTTGCTAGAAGCTGCAGCTAGACTGCAGAAGCTTTAGTTTTTAGTTTTTGACGGATGGGAACAACTTCCCACACAGATACCTGTATAGGGATGCCTATACAATTCATTTATTTGGTTTATAAATGAATGTCAAGACATTTATGTTATTGATTTCGGAAGCACTTTCTAAATAATAAAAAGAGAGTTCATATGTATTTACTGCATGTATGCATTGATGAAAAATAAGCCATGTGCAGTATAGACAATTGAGGATGCAACGCATTGGTATGAATTGTTCGTGATGCATCGGGATATCGAATTGAATCGAATCGTGAGACCAGTGAAGATGCACAGCCCTAATATGTATATTATTTTACTATCGCTATCGCACCATGACATCAAGTCAAATTCCTCGTACGTGTCAACCTACCTGGTGATAAACCTGATTCTGATATCAGGATGTATCAGGATGTATCAGGATGTATCTGTATAATATATATAATACATGTGATTGTCCAGTGGGTGCTGCTGACCTTGCACCAGGTGCTCGTGGTAGATGGAGGCGAGGTTGGGGAGGTGCTGCTGGAGGTGAGAGCTGAGCTCAGCGTGGGAGTTGATCTGCACCAGCTCCTCCTCGCAGCCCGACTCCTCTCCATCGAAGTCGGCCATGTTCTTCTCCGACTTGGCGCTGACCTGAGAGCTGCTGCAGGACACATCGTCAGCGCTCAGCATGTCCTCCACCATCGGACTGAGAGGAGGAGGGGGAGGGGTTTGTGGAAGAGAAGCAGAGAAGATGTTATTTTCCCATGTGTTAATGTGTGTATGTGTGACTATGTTAAAAACCCAATAAATATAATGTTAAAGTCCTCACCCTTCATGGTAGGGTTAGGGTTAGATCATTTTAAAACTGCAACTACTTTGCACACTTATGTAATATGTTCAAATGTTCCTTAAGTAGTACGTTCATTTTGTGCACGCCTCGTCTACACGCTGCCGTAACAAAACAATTTCCCATTTGTGATGACTAAATGTAATCTAATCTATTCTTTTTTAAGTGCTCACCCGTCATGGTGTTGATGGTGGTGGGGGGAGGGGGGTGTTATTCTCCCATTTGTTAATGTATGTGTAACTGTATGTTCTTTCTGTGTTAAAAACCCAATAAATATAATGTTAAAGCTCTCACCCTTCATGGTGGTGGTGGTGATGATGGTGATGGTGGTGGTGCTGGGGGCCAATAAAGCGCCGGCAGTTGAAGATCTCGTTGCCCATGGCGTCCCCCAGGAAGTCCCCGGGCCCCCGAGGCAGACATGGAGGCTCCTGAGAACCCTGAGGACCCTGAACCATCTGAGAGGGTCCGATCTCCGGCTGCTGAGGCTCCGTCACATCGGGCCGAGCCGACGCAGACGCAGAACAAGCGTCCAGCATCCTCATCCGGCCCTCCAGAGACGCAGACGCCATGACGGCAGCAGAAGAAGCTTCCGGGTTGAAAGGGAGGTTTTTCGATTTGGCCCCGCCTCCTGAACCGCTAGGCCCCGCCCCCTGGCTCGTGCCTTCACCAAGAGCCTCCCCCGCCTTCCTCTTCCTGGACTCAGTCTGCTCCCTCTGTTCTTTTTGATGATTCCCGCCTTCAGCAGCCGACCGATTCCCCTCGTCTTCGTCGTCATCGTCATCATCGTCCTCGTCGTCCTCGTCGTCTTCCTCGTCGTCATCCTCCTCCTCCTCTTCCTCCTCTTTGAGGGCCTCGCTGTCGGCCATGTCGTCAGAGTGCATCTCGCTGCCGGGGCTCCCTGCTGATTGGCTGGCTCTGGAGGAGGCGGCCTCGTTGCTGGAGGCTTCGCTGCGGCCGCTGCTGCTGCCCGGCCCGCTGCTGCCCTCCTCCACACTGTTGGCCGTCTCGTCAGAGCTGCCCTGCATCGACTCCTGGGAGGAACAGAGACACAAATGTGTTTTATTATGCTACTTTTATATTACTATCACGTTTCTTTTTCATTATCTGGAAAACATGAGCACAAAATCAATTGCATGTTGAGTTTCTTTTGTGTGGTTGCAAAATTTTAGCAAATAATAATAATGAATAGTCTGAGAAAAGAGTCTGGTTCTCAAAATGTTACACAGCATTACAAATCCTACCCCTTTGTATGTGCATGTGTACGTAGGTGTATCAGGGTTTCCGTTAGCCGGTAACATTTATTAAAAACAGGTAAATTCAAAATGTCCGCTAATAATTAGGGATGCTCTGATCGATCGGCCGTCGATCGTTATCGGCTGATATTCCCTCTTAATAGTTTGACCGGTGCTCCCTATAAAGGCCGATCAGGAGAGCTGGACCTGATCGATGTGGACATAAACGCGAGTGAAGTGTAACCGGACGAGAGAGAGAGATCAGATCTACCTCTTGCTATTACTCAAAGTTAATGTAAACTTTTGAATAATGTACTTCATCTACTACAAGTCGTTTGCTTGAATGTAATAATGATGTTGTTTGTGGAATCATTTATTGAAAAATGAATCTAAACTTTCCGATCTGTTACGATTATAAACTGAAGCAATATAAAAATGACTCCTATTAACTGAGTTTCAAACATCGGTATATCCGGTCCTAGTCCTGTAATTACCTGCTAACGGAAACTCTGCTTCACAACTCTTATTATTATTATTGAAACATGACCGGTAAGTTTCAAATGTGTCCGGTAAAATTAATTATTTGACCAGCAAGAAAAAATCCTAGCGGAAACCCTGATGTGTATGTTTGTGTGTATATATATATATACATACACACACATACTTTTTGGATCACCTGCATTCACACTAAAAAAACTTCAACATGTCGAAAACTCAGCTGCCCGCTTGCTCACCTCCACCCGACGCTCCGACCACATCACCCCTATCCTCCATGACCTCCACTGGCTCCCCATCAAACACCGCATTGACTTTAAAATATTACTTTTCACTTTCAAAGCCCTCAACTACCTTGCCCCCCCCCTACCACTGTTACCTCATCCAATGACACATCCCCACCCGTCGCCTCAG